ATCAAAGAGGCCAGATGTAGAGTATATATACCACTTTTTAGGGATTTGCCGGTGAGTTTTCTTGACTCGTGAGCTTTAATTTGGTTGTGACAATGATACCTTGCTCTGATCATGTTCGTCCTATGACGGACGAAAGTTTAGCACCTTTTCACCAGAATCGAAGGAGGTAACAGCGTTAGCATGAGTCTTCAGGTAAAGCCAATTAACAGCTGGTCAAGAGGAATTCGCCTTCGTCTCTTGGGTGGAACCGACCTTCGAATCTCTTTACTTAACACTTTTATTCGAAATGGATGTAAGCTCAACAATTATGAAACAAAAGATTCCTCGAAACACAAATTTTCTTCGAATATAGGCACATCAGAAGTCGTGATAAGACTAGGGCGAGACTTAAGGGTAGGAAATTGTTAGAGGGACCAGGATAGAGCGAGAAGTGATAGCAAAACCCTATCGACAGAAAGTTAGTTAAGGAATTGATTTCATTTGTCTCTTGGACGAGTTGTTGCTTGGTTGCTGAGACAGGCAAAACTCATGATGCCGACCACGATGCCGGAGAAACGTCTGGGAATGTACTAAATCAACGGTCCGACTCTAGAAATGAACATTCATACTCTGAACTCCGGACAAGGTGCCTTCCTCTAGGTCTTCCTGCTAATATGACCAATTCGCGAAACTAAGAGCAAACAACTTCTATACAACGAAAGGAGACTGCAACAATACAAAAGGCCACACCATCCTGATGTTCATATCTTCAACTAATCTACAGAGGTCAGTTTAGTTGTCAACTGCAACCCATCAAGTATTTGATAACAAATAATCGCATTATTCAGTTAAGGTTTCCAGATAATTTTTATTAGATTAGAAAGAAACAAGTAAGCAAATAAAACAGAATAAATAAAAATGAATCCGATCATTTACTCACTTCAATTAGCTCATGTAGATAAAAGAAATGAAAGATAGGTAGCAGCAAAAGCCTGGGCAGAAGGTACTTAAATGCGCAGACTAGAAAGTTGCACGAGGCGGCCTGCAATACAGCAGATCGGTACTGTGCTAGCATGCCACGAAAACCAGATGCAGGAGGCAAGGGAGCTGAAGAACCTGTCGATGTAGAATCGGGGCCAACTCCCGAGTCAAGCCCAGCTGACCTTATGGCTGATGTAACACAAGCAGCAGCGAAGTGACTAAATCTTCCAGCACTGGACACCGAATGTCCAACGTAACCCTCACGACCTCCTGAATTATTGGGAGACATACAAACCGGCAGGGGAATAGTAGCTGAGTGAGCGCACTGATGAGAGCCTTGACATTGATGATGGTGATAGTGATGCAAGTGCATTTCGCCAGCTCCAATCAAGCGGCCAACAGAATCTGAATGCAGAGGCGAAGGAGAGGCTGAAGGTGACGCTGATTTAGAATTAGAAGCGGATGCCGAGGCAGATGCTGAAGAGGAGTTCGAAGCGGAAGTAGGTGTAGAAACAGCGCCAGCTGACCGTGTGTGCATATGGCTCGCTCGTGCCGACACACTGGTGGTCACCTGGCTACATATACAGCAATAAGAGCAGCAGTAGCAACAAGATGTTGGAGTGATAGAGCCACCTAACAAGAGACTGGAAGAAGTATAGTCTGGAGCGAATGGACAATGGTCCCATTGCCGACATCGAGAGCAAGAGAAGCTGTGCAAACCTGCCCAGCGTGGGTCGTTGGACGGCAGTAAAGCAGGCGTGCCTAGAATCGAAGGGCCGGCCTATATACAGACAAGGAGTTTCAAAATGGGACTGTTAAAATGCATAATATCCACAAGAGTTTGGATTAAAAGTTGTTGCATACTTTGGGGGATTGATTTAGTGTAAATCAAAAATTTTACATATTTGTATATAAGAAGTGTGAATTAATCAAATCAACGCTGGGTCTATTTGTTTGAAGAATTAAGCTAAGCTAAAAGATAATTGTAAAAAAATGACTAAGTTTAATGTATCATTTGATTTAGCCTTAAAAGGCGAGTGAAAGACGTTTGTAAATTGGCCGTATTGGAAAACAAGGGATGAATGTCATGGGGTTATAATAATACAATTAAAGCAAGTCCTTTTTGCATCATCCCACACAACAAATGAATCCGTGCTGAGCCTTCGTTTGCCATTTGAAGGACATAGCAAAAGCTTTAAGCCACTCTTTGGGAGAGTAGGC